ATTATACATTAGATAATGGTATTGTATCAATTTACATTTCCTGAATTTGACAACATTCATGGTTATGTTGGTTTCCCTGGTGGTTAGACAGTAAAGAATCTGCCTGTGATGCAGGACACCCAGGTTCAATCCCTGGGTTTTGAAGATCCCCTGGAGAAGGGAATGGCTACCCAGTCCAGTATTCTTGCCTGGAGAATATCATGGCCAGAGTGATTACGTAGAGCATATTCATGTTCTTGGGAAACTCTGGCTAAAATACATGGGGTAAACTGTCATGATGTTTTTCACTCTCAAATGTTTCAGGAATAATAATAATAATAAAACAACAATGACAATAAAGTATGTGTGTATAAATATATAGAGATTTTGATAAGGCTGTTGTAACAAAATGTTACCAACTGGAAATGTAGGCAAAGGGGACATGAGAATTTTTATAACTCTTTTGTGGGTTTGAAATGATTACAAAAGAAGAGATAAAAATAAGTAAAATAAACAAAATGTATCATTAAATGTTTGAAAGTTTCATTGGCTCCCACTGCCTTCAGAATAAATATTGAATTTGTCAACAAAAATATCACTAAAGATAATATGATAGGAATTTTAAATCATAAAAGGAAGCCTGAATGTGCCCTATCTCTTAAAGTCCCTCTAACTTTTAAAATAGATTCTGTATCAACAAAATTGTGGCTACAAAGTAGTTAAATAAATGAAACTATTTTTTGTGTAGAAGGGCTATGAAAACTACATACAGAGAAAAAAGGAACTATAAAATTGGCCACTTTTCCTCCCACTTGCCAACCTGAATCCCAATCCCGTAGATTTGCTCTCTGGAGCTGCCCTTGGAGATTCAACCATTGGTGGGCGTCAGGCTTGTCAGCACATCTCTGCTTTGTGTGTTTATTGCCTGCTCCTAGCAGGGAATACTGAGTGAGACAGACAACAGCTGAATTTTTTAAAATGCAGATACAGGAAGTCAAAGGACATGACTATGGGCTTCATCAGCAAGAGTGGGTATTGCTGAGTGTAAGAGTTTACAGAGCAGAGAAGCCTTATGATAAATAATAATGATTTCAAAAGAAGTCCACAGTCATTATTTACTCATTATAGACATGGGAGAACTCACCCTGGAGAAAAACCTTTATTAGTCATTCATATGTTAAATGGCACAAGAGAAAACAAAAAAGAGGAAAATTATATGAATACAAATGCTATGAAGCAACTCTCTATAATCATTCACTACTTAAATCCATACCAAAACCCTGTATGAATGCGATCTGTGTGGGATCGCACTACTTGCTCAGGTAATACGAGATAATTTACACTGGAGAAGGACCCTACAAATGTAGTAATTGTAGTAAATGGCCAGTAAATGTAGAGTTTAGCCAGAGCTCTACCTTAACTGACATCAGAGAACTCTTAGGAGGAAATGCTATTTTTGAAATCAACGTAGGAGACCCTTTAGCTGGAGGTCTGGCCTCAATGTACAGAAGACAACCCATATTGGGGAGTAATCCTGCATACATAATGAATGGGAAGAAGTCTTTAACAGGAGACTCTTGAGTACCAGAAAATTCATAGAGCAGATACAAGTTCAATTAAATGAATGTGGGAAATTCTTTATTCATTGAGCAACACTTGTAAAACGTGAGAATTCACTGAAGAACAACAGTTCGAATAATATGAATAAAAGAAAGTTTTCAATAACTATCTATTAAAAACCTTATAAGATTAAATATCTCTCCCTGGAGGAATTCTATGCATACAGTCAACGTGTAGGTGTAACTCTCAATTTATTAAACATGAAAAGAGTGCACAACAGCTGTTTTTAAACTTCTGAAAGGTTATCCTAGAGGAAAAAGGGAGTATCAATTGTACAAAGCTCCAAAAATAGCAAGCCCAAGGGCTCATATAGAAGTTAACCAATAGCAGATCAAAACATCATTGGGAAAAGCTATAATCTGACAGGGTGGACAAAACTATCTTTAAGAAGAAAGAAACTCACACTTACTATATTTCTCTCACATTATATACAAAAATAAACTCAAAATGACTTAAAGACCTAAAGCTATAAAACTTCTAGAGAAGAATATAGGAGAAACACTTTTTAACATAACTTGTAGCAATATTTTCTTGGATAAGTACAAGAAACAAAAGCAAAAATAAATGAATGGGAACTAATTAAATTTAAAAGCTTTTGCACAGCAAATGAAACCATCAACAAAATGAAAAGAAAAACTATGGAATGTGAGAAAATATCTGAAAATTATTTGATCAATAAGGGGTTGACACCACAACACTGTATAGCAATTAGCCTCCAATAAAAATGGCGGGGGGGGGGGTGCGGTTAACATCCAAAATACACAAACAACCTCATACAACTCAGTATCAAAAAAAGCCAAACAACCCAATCAAAAAATGGGCAAAACACCTAAATAGACAGTTTTCCAAAGATGGCATATAGATGGCTAACATGAACATGAAAAGATGCTCCATGCTGCTAACCATTAGAGAAATGCAAATCAAAAAACAGTAACATATTACCTCACCCTTGTCAGAATCACTATCATATCAGAAAGTCTCCAAGTATCCAAAGAAACACAAACAAAAAAACCCCAGAAGAATACCTAAGTGAAGTGGAGACAGGCAATCTACTGAAAAAAGAATTCAGAGTAAAGACAGTAAAGATGACCCAAGACCTCAGAAAAAGAAGAGAGGCACAGACTAAGAAGATAGAAGAAATGTTTAACAAAGAGCTGGAAGATATAAAGGACTAACAGAATTGAACAACACAATCACTGAAATGAAAAATACACTAGAAGGACTCAATAGCAGAACAAATGAGGCAGAAGCATAGATAAGTGAGCTGGAAGACAGAGTAGTGAAAATCACTGCTGCAGAACAGAATAAAGATAAAATAATGAAAAGAAATGAAGGCAGTTTAAGAGACCTCTAGGACAACATTACATGCACCAACATTCACATAATAGAGGTCCCAGAAGGAGAAGGGTCCCAGAAGAGAACAGGGCTTCCCTGGTGGTTCAGACAGTACAGAATCCGCCTGCAATACAGGAGACCTGGGTTCGATCCCTGGGTTGGGAAGATTCCCTAGAGGAGGGCATGGCAATCCACTCCAGTATTCTTGCCTGGAGAATCCCCAGGGACAGAGGAACCTGGTGGGGTCACAAAGAGTCAGACATGACAGTGACTAAACACAGCACAACACAGAAGGAGAAGAAAAAGAAAAGGCCTGAGAAAATACTTGAAGAGATTACAGTTGAATACTTCCCTAATATGGGAAAGGAAATAGCCATCCAAGTCCAGGAAGCACAGAGAGTCCCATACAGGATAAACCCAAGGAGGAACACACTGAGATACATATTAATCAAACTGACAAAAATTAAAGACAAAGAGAAAATATGAAAAGCAACAAGAGAAAAGCAACAAATAACATTCAATGGAATCTCAATATGTTTATCAGCAAATTTTTTCCAGTAGAAGCTCTGCAAGCCAGGATATACTGTACCTCTGCAGGCATAATACATTAAAGTGATGAGAAGGAAAAACCTACAGCCAAGAAAACTCTACCGAGCAAGGCTCTTGTTCAGAGCTTTACAGAAAAGCAAAGGCTAAGAGTATTCAGTACCACCAAATCAGCTTTACAATAATTACTGAAGGAACTTCTCTAGGCAGAAAAGAAAAGGCCACAAATAGAAACAAACAAAAAAAATTATGAATGGGAAAGTGAAAGTCACTCAGTCGTGTCCAACTCTTTCAGACCCCATGAACTACGGGATTCTCCAGGCCAGAATACTGGAGTGGGTAGCCATTCCCTTCTCCAGGGGATCTTCCGAACCCAGGTCTCCCACATTGCAGGTGGATTCTTTACCAGCTGAGCCACCAGGGAAGTTATGAAAGGGAAAGCTCACCAGTAAACATACAGGAACAGCAGGTAATCATCCACAAAATGTGAACCACAATAATACCTTCTCTGAGGATAAAGGACAATTATTCTGATAATCTCCAGTGGTTCTGTTTGAGTGATTTTTTTTTCTTTTTAATTCTGTGCTTCAGTATTTTGAAATTCGTATTTTTTAAGGACCATTCAATGCCTGGGAATCAATAAATCTTTCCACTTCTAAGACTGTTCAGTCCCAGCTGTCTGGTGAAGAAGTAAAACAGCTAATACACACTGAAAATTTCACACATGACCGAAGCTAGTGCATTCTGGTATAACCATGTAAGAAAATTTTTTGCAACAATAAAGTCAAATTTTCATTCCTTACAACCCAACAATTCCACTCCTAGGTATCTATCAAACATAAATTCATGCATTCACTAATGTTCTATTTGAAATGGCCCAAAATCATCTTACATACTTTTATATGTTATTGTTCAATACAAACTGTAGAAAAAGAAAACTATCTGTACTTCAGAATAATCAGAATAGACATCAAAAGTTAAAACAGAGACTATTCTTTTGAGGATCCTGTTAGAAAACTTGTCTTCATGAAGTTGGATGATCTGGACGAGTGCTAAAGAGACCAACAAGCCATTAAAGGAGTATAATAACTGTCCTATTCCTAAATGGAATCAGAACAAAGCCATTATTCAGTATTGGTGCCTGAAGATATTGACTTCCATCATTGTGCTTCTTGAATTATTCTTTATAGATTAGTAGATATATTTTCTTCCTAATTTGTAGCAGTATTACCTCTACTGAAGTCTCGGTCCAAGTCTGAATCCCTTTAAAAGCAGAAATTGGACCAGAAACAACATACCATTTGTTAGGAGTTCTAGTTTATTAGAGTAGATAGATCTGTTACTATTTTTAAAATCAGATCATAATTTTCAGAATTCCTTCAAAGATGAAATACATTTAAAAAAAAAACATGAATAGAAATCCAACCCCATTTCACAAAAAACAAAGCAGAAAATGAATGAGTTATAATACAAGATTAAACTGACAGCCTAAGAGCCAGATATCACTAAAATATTCTTACCGGTGCAGTTTGCCACCATAAAACGGCTTAGTATGAAAAGTGATGCTGGCAGAGTACCCAGTTTTTGCACAGTTGACACTGACTTTGCCACCCAGTTCTACCCAAGGAACAGTTAAAATTGACCGGGCATATGCACAAGGCAGAGAAAACGTATACTCTTCTCCATGCTCCAGTAGACTGAGGATACCTGAATGTGAAAACATGAAGGTGGATAATACGTTTAAAAAGCAACAAAAAAAGATAGCTATGTAAAATCCGTATTAGGATTTTCTTCTGCCTGGTAAAAGAAATCATAATTTTGCTTAATTTTCTTTTCACTTTGCATGAAATTGGCTTCATTTACAATTACATTTGACAACAATTCATGCTAACAGTTAATCAAGGTTACTTTCACTATGACTTTATTATCCCTTTGGGGTTCAAGGAACAAAATTCCCTCTAATGCTCCTAAAAATAAAATAAAACTTCAAGTTGGAATTTAAGTCCATGCTAGACTGTTTCATCATAAGACCTGATCTTTAGCTAGTATTAATAACTTTTAAAGTAGCTTTTAGAATAACTAAATATCTAACATAACATAGACCTTAATCTCAAATGACATGGGGGGTTCTTCATTCTATTCTATGCATATTAAGATAGAAAAAAGTTATTTTATGATATAAACTAATGTCATCACAATAATTTTGCTTGCCAAATTCTGAAATATTTAAGGCAAAGCTACAAGAGTTAGAAATGGCAGTTTTCAAACAATATTCTAATGGGGCTTGTTCTATATTAAATGATAGTATATTAAAAGATGACTTTAAAAAACATATAAGAGAGTTACAAGGAAAAAAAGGGAATTACATTAATGAATAATCAATCTATCACAGATGATTAAGAGACACTGAGGAGACTTGAGCTAATTACATTACTAACCTAAGTTCATTACCTAGGTCACCATCAAAATAAACACCAAACTGGATATGTACTGCTAGCTTGAACTCTGAGGGTATCTCTCTCTTAATAAATGCTCATGAAGTACTGTGTTCTTAATGTTCACAAAAAAGGGCAAAAATTATATTTTCATACAGTCAAATTTTTAGGACACACAAATAGACTGAGTTCTAAAGCAATCTACATAAAGCAACAGCAACTACTTTTTGTATTGTTCTTAGTAGTTTTTGCACAGGGCAATAATAAATTGAGCCACAGGAAAAGAAACATGGTTTTGTATATATTTATATATAATGGGAGCTATCAGAGACATACATATAACATACTTGGTTATTCAAGTATTTGACAATAACTGGATTAATTCTAAGTTGGAAAGGATATCATGTTCTTTTCTAAAAACATTTGGCCTTACAAACTGGATTCAGGATCTTTTATGTCTAGGAATATAGTTAGCGTGAGTTAACATTCATTATGGAATTTAAGGTCCAAGAAATATGTAATTAGTGAACAGGAAAATAAGACTAGCTAGGATAACTGAAATTCAAAGAATTCTAAAATCTCATTTTCCTCCTACTTTAAAGAAAATCAGAGCTACTAACAGGAGCAAAATAAACTGTCAGAAGTTCCATTCTCTGATTTAATTTACCTTCTGTTGAGGGTGCCAAAGGTAATTTATTTTTAAAACGGCAAATCTATGAATATATAACCAGCACTTAAATAATAATAAAAAAATATCAATACTACCTTCTCATTTAACATGTGGCTAAGATATTAATGCTTTTCCTCATTTCTTGAGGTATTTCCTTTCTTAGAGTGGGAGAAGCTACCAGATACTTTCTGTCTCATGAACTGGTAAGAGTAACTGCCCTTGGGGAGAGTGTGCCAAAGAATGAGGGTCTAAATCTGACTATGCCTTAATTTCTATGATTCTGGACACATTCCATCACTACCAGACTTCAGGTTTTTCATCTCTAAAACAAGTAAACTGCTTTGTGAAGAGCCTAAGGTTAATGTGATATACCTTATAACTGGAGTGAGCCAACTCTTTTTTTTTTTTTAAACTAATACAATATCTTACTATGTTATAAAAAATTTAATTAGTTTGAAACATTACTTGGAAACTGACTCATAGCACAATAGGTGTTAAAGATGAGGAATGCCTGTAAGGGGAATACAATATTTTCTTCAGGGCTAAAACAACACAATCTCAAAATGTTAGGGTCCCAGGCTTAACTGCACCATGCTTACAGTGTCAGCTTATATTTACAACAAATTTTCTTATGCACACAAGTTTTCCTCTGACATTAAAATGGCAGAGTTTTTTCCTGCCATTATATTTTCATTAACTCTGAAAAGATTTCTGTGGAGACTTATCTGTTGTTGTTAATCTGTTTTTTGTATTCTTAGCCAAAAAACACTGTATTTAATTGTTATAATAATTTGTGCTGGAGTAGATTTAAAGGTTGGCAGTTTATTTTAAAATATTTTATGACAATTTCCTGTGATATATAAAAGACACAGACACAGATTTGCCTAGAAAATATTTCTTGAGTGCTGTTTATAAGAAAAACATGTTTTATGTTTAAAGCATTATCAATAACTTGAGAAAATATTCACTGCAAAAAAAGAAGACACAACTACATAGAGAGAATCCTAATTTTATAAAACTGAAAGTATGAACATACACACATAGAAAAAATACAAAATACTAGCTAAATTTATCTATCTCTGAATGGAGGGATTAGACATACTTTTTCTCCTTGACACTTTTCTAAGTTTACTAAGTTTTCTATAATAAAAATAATTTACATTTAAAATCAGGAAAAAAATTGCAAAAAAATTTTTATTTGATAGATTCACCCTCTCCCCTCTACCAACATTCCGAAACATACTAGGAAATAGGGGGAAAAGTATTACACATACAGTTCAAATTTACAGTTGATATTTATCTAGCTTCCCCCAATTTAAGGTTATAGTTTGATATGAGAAATTGGAGAATAATTTTTTCTACTTACCTTCCCCAACCATTGTCACGCCTATCGACATGCCTAAGAATTTGCTCTTAGTCCAGACGTGTGCATTTACACACATCTTCCTCTCTGCACATTCTGCATAAAATCCTGAGACTGGAGGATGATGGGAAACCTGCTCGGCAACAAATCTGACCATGTAACAGTCTGAACCCATCTGGTTCAAAGCCTCCTCTGATGGAGGTGCATGATTTGTGATGGCCTGGGTAGAAGAGCTGTTAATGACACTGGATGCTACCTCGCTTTTGGGCATCCTCCAGGAACAGTGAAACGTTTCTCCAATGATAGGATTGTATGGTTTCTTAGCAATGGCTCCCTTACGGCCTTCGTGAAATGAGGTAAGGTAGTACTCAACAAAACGAATCATCCTGTCCTCAGCTGTAGTTCCATTAGTGATGGCTATAAATAGGTCTGGATGAGACATAAAGTCTGCATACATTTCCAACAAGGAACGCTTCTCTAGGATAAATGTAGGAAGCACCACCTAAAACAACAACAATAACAACAACAAATCAACCAAAGAGGGCAGTACAAAAAAACAGTAATAAATACTTTCAGAGAATTGAGATGATATTATACACATGAAACAAGAATGCTTTTTGAAAAAGAAAATTCAGAAAAAATTAAAACATGATAGGAAAAATTAAAATTTAAGAGAAGGGTTAGAGGATAAAGGTGATGACCTTCCTGGTCTAGTCCTCTATTCTCCTAAGAGATTTCTGCTTCTTTCAAGTCTGTTTCTTTATTTTGGTCTTTATATTCCTAATTAGAGGTGTTCTCAAAGACCTGATACATCTGTAGAGAATGATTCTTATTTCCCTGAAAATATTTCATTCTAGATGGGTATTAAAAGCAGAGTCACAAAAGAAAAGTAATTTGTCTCAGTAAAAAATAAGCCTGCTATACTTTGAGGAAATCAAAATTGAAAAAGACACATGTACCCCAATGTGCATTGCAACACCATTTACAAGAGCTAGGACATGGATGCAACCTAGATGTCTATCAACAATCGGGTGGAGAGGGAGGTGGGAGGGGGGATTGGGATGGGGAATACATGTAACTCCATGGCTGATTCATGTCAATGTCTGACAAAACCCACTGCAATGTTGTGAAGTAATTAGTCTCCAACTAATAAAAATAAATGAAAAAAAAAACCAAACAGATGAATGGATAAAGAAGCTGTGGTACATATATACAATGGAATATTACTCAGCCATAAAAGGGGATGCATCTGAGTCAGTTCTAATGAGGCAGACGAACCCGGAGCTTATTATACAGAGTGAAGTAAGTCAGAAAGAGAAAAACATGGTATATTAATGCATATACATGGAATCTAGAAAGATGGTACTGGTGAACCCAGTCATGGGCAGCAGTAGACACGCAGACATAAAGAAGAGACTTATGGACAAAGAATGGAAGAAGAGGGTGGGACTAATGGAGAGAGGAGCATGGAAACATATACACTACCATAAGTAAAACAGACAGTCAAGGGGAATCTGCTGTGTGACTCAGGGAACTCAAACCAGGGCTCTGTAACAACCGAGAGGGGTGGGATGGGGAGGGAGGTGGGAAGGAGGTTCAAGAGGGAGGGAACATTATGTGTACCTATGACTGACTCATGTTAAAGTATGGCAGGAACAAGGGCAATGTTATGAATCAATTATCCTTCAATTAAAAATAAATTAATTAAAAAATATAAGCATGCTTAAAAGGAAATAGCCTTTCCAAACTGTTAAGGTCAAACAATCAATTCAGGACTTCAAAAGGGTCAACTAAAAAAAAACAACCAACCACTTCAAATTCCTAGATTGGATAAAAGTATCATAAGGGGAAAGAGATAAGGGAAGAGAATGGTAATTTACATTTAATTTTAAGCACAAGAACACTAATTCTAAGAAAAGAGCTTTTGATTCTTAAAGCCAGGTAAATAAAAGGAAGATTAAACATTTTATTTAAAGCAGAATTGGAGAAGCACTGAAACTGGCTCAACTCTGTGACAAAACAATCTGGCAACATTTTTTCAAGAGCCTGAAGATTTCATATCCATTTAGCTTAATAATAATTCTTCCAAGAATCTTGTCTTAGGAAGTAATACAAATGAAAGGGAGAAATGTGAAAATAAAATTAAAACAGTCTATGTTTTTAACTCTGTACTGTGCTTAGTTCAATTGTGTCCAACTCTTTGCAACCCTGTGGACTGTAGCCCACCAGACTCCTCTATCTATGGGGATTTCTCCAGGCAAGAATACTGGAATGGGTTTGGAGAAGCTATGCCCTTCTCCAGGAGATCTTCCCAGCCCAGGGATCGAACCCAGGTCTCCCACATTGCAAGCAGATTCTTGACTAGCTGAGCTACAGGGAGGCCCAAGAATACTCTGGGTCTAGTTAAATGACATGATAAAGTGGTACGAAGTAACCCTCTATAAATTAAATGATTGATACTAAGCCCTCTTCTCCTCCCTAACTCCTACTTGCTTTACCTATCAAGCAAGAAGTTAGAAGAATTTTCTTCTGGGAGAATTCGACTAACCCTAGAGGAAAAATCTAAATGATACTAACATCAGGTTCCCCAACAATTCAGATTACTGTGTTGAAAAGCACAGGCTCCACTCACATGTTCGAAACTTAAAATTAGGTTTTTAGTTCCCCTGGTCCTATCACTTCATGGCAAATAGATGGGGAAACAGTGGAAACAATGGCTGACTTTATTCTTCTGGGTTCCAAAATCACTGCAGATGGGAACTGCAGCCATGAAATTAAAATTTCCTTGCTCCTTGCTCCTTGGAAGGAAAGTTATGACCAACCTAGACAGCATATTAAAAAGCAGAGACATTACTTTGCCAACAAAGGTCCATCTAGTCAAGGATATGGTTTTTCCAGTGGTCATGTATGAATGTGAGAGTTGGACTACAAAGAAAGCTGAGTGCCGAAGAATTGATGCTTTTGAACTGTGGTGTTGGAGAAGACTCTTGAGAGTCCCTTGGACTTCAAGGAGATCCAACCAGTCCATCCTAAAGGAGATCAGTCCTGAATATTCATTAGAAGGACAGATGTTGAAGCTGAAACTCCAATACTTTGGCCACCTTATGCGAAGAGCTAACTCACTTGAAAAGACCCTGATGCTGGGAAAAATTGAGGGCGGGAGGAGAAGGGGACGACAGAGGCTGAGATGGCTGGATGGCATCACCGACTCTATGGACATAGGTTTGGGTAAACTCCGGGAGTTGGTGATGGACAGGGAGGCCTGGAGTGCTGCGGTTCATGGGGTCGCAAAGAGTCAGACACGACTGAGTGACTGAACTGAACTTATACTTAAACGTGAGCGGAAATCCAAGAAACATCAGATCTCTAAGAATACCTCTCATAAGAAATATAAAGAAAATATACAGCCAAGATTGTACTCAGTATTCACTTTCCTCTAAGTAACACTGTTACGGGATACATATATAGGTGGTAAAACTATAAATCAAAGTAGGGGGATGATTGACACAAAAGACAAGTGGTTATATCTAGGAAAAAACAGAAGACTACAACTGGAAAGGGCACTCAGAGAGCTTCCAAGATCTGGCAATGTTCTGTAACTTAATCAGAGGTGGGTACACAGGTATTTATTTTAGCACTGTTTTCTGAACTCTTTCTATACACTCTAGTCAGTCTTCTGTGTGTACAATACACTTCACAAAAAAAAGATATTAACTGAAAAAAAGGGAAATATTGTAAAATTGGATATAAAATATAATTATATAAAGAAAAACTGGAAGGAAATCACAAAAAGTAACATTTGTGTTGTTAGGATGGTAGAATTATAGATTTTTTTCCTTTTATTTTTCAAAAACTTTCTTTGAAAAGTTTATACTAAATTCATGACACTATTTTTAAAAGAACAAAATAATGGGGAAAATGGCTATTACTTATTCACAATATGCAAGTAAGGGCCTTCTTTGTTGCTGTAGTCACAATACCTAACAGTGTCTGGAATATAAGGTGGCTCAATAACTCTCTGCTGTCTCAGTGTCACTGTTAGATAGGAGGTGTACGTGACTGCAGTTCAGTTACCAGGTTCTTTAACGTTGTTCAAAAAGTACCATTCTTTTAAACGTATATAAATTCTAAAAGACACAAGTACCTCAATGTTCACTGTGGCACTACTTACAATAGCCAGGATATGGAAGCAACCTAGATGTCCATCAACAGATGAATAAAGAAGTTGTGGTACATAAACACAATGGAATACTAGCCATAAAAAGGAACAAAATTGAGTCAGCTCTAGTGAGGTGGATGAACCTAGAGCCTATGACACAGAGTGAAGTCAGGAAGACAAAAACAAATATTGAATATTAACTCATATATGGAACCTAGAAAGATGGTACTGACGAACCTATTTGTAGGGCAGCAATAGAGATACATACATAGAGAATAGACTGTGGACAAAGAGGGGAAGGAGAGTATGGGATGAATTGAGAAAGTAACATTGAAACATACACATTTCTGTATGTAAAACAGATAACAAGTGGGACACAGGGAGCTCAACCCAGTGCTCTGTGACAACAGGAGAGTTAGAATGGGGTGGGAGGTGGAAGGGAAGCCATATACCTATGGCTGATTTATGTTGATGTATGGCAGAAACCAACACAACATTGTAAAGCAGTTATCCTCTGATTAAAAATACATAAATATAAAATTTTAAAAATAAAAAATAAGCATTATATGCGTGCTAAGTCACTTCAGTCATGTCCAACTCTTTGCCACCCCATGGACTATAATTTGTGATCAGTTAATGATTTTATATATAAATAAAATATATATGTATTTTTTCAATTAAGAAAGCACAAATGTGGACAAACTACATTGAATTCATTATCTATGTCAAGAGAGAATGTATCATCTGGATTACTACTAGAGCACATTCTTTTCAAATGTTCTAATGCCTCATAAACCCCAACATTGTTCTTATGACTTAAAACCTAAATTTACTAGAAAACAGCAAACACCACAATAACCAAATAAACTCTATACCTAATGCTCATTTTAACCAATTTTAAAACTAGTCTTTTCTGAACCACTAATATGAAAATATTTCTAGAATAAAAATGATACCCAGTTGAAATACTAAGATTAGATGAAAGATGAATTGTTAGAATGGCTTTCTTTATCTATTCCTAAAATATCTGCTTCTTAGTAGGTTATTAATTGAATCAACTTACTTAAACTCTCTTATAATTACTATAAGTTGAAGTAAAGAAATATATTTTTTTATTTTGAAATGCTTCAAAGTGAATGCTAAAGGCAAAATGCTTTTTATTTAAGTTACATTTTCAGGTAAGTAATTCACTGGAATCAAACAACCTTTTAATTTACACTTTTACTACCTCAAAGGCATTGAAAACCTCAATTCAAAATATACATCCTGAAGTCAATTTTGAAATTCCACACTAACGGAAAGTAGTGTCAGTAGTGACTCAAAATATGTAATTCCACAGTAGTAAATGTCTAACATACATAGGTTTTGAACCTTATTGGCTTTCTAAATCAATGTCATGGGTTAATTGTTAAAACAAATTAAGGCACACTCATTAGATAAACTGGGAATGGAGAAGATGGGCCTAAAATTAAAAACTATACATCAGTGCTTCTCAAACTGTAATGCATATATATATTATTTCCTGAAACGTAGATTCTGTTTCTCTAACTTTGAGACTGAGGCCAAGATTATACATTTCTAACAAGTTCTCAGGTGATGGTGATGATACTGACTTTCAGATTTATTTCTTCTTTCAGTTATAAGGCATAACTGACAAATAAAACCATAAGTTATTTAAAGTGTACATTGTAGTGATTTGATATACACATATATAGTGAAAGGGGGCTTCCCTGGTAGCTCAGCTGGTAAAGAATTCACCTGCAGTGCAGGAGATCCTGGTTCGATTCCTGGGTTAGGAAGTTCCCCTGACGAAGGGTAGGCTACCCACTGCAGTCATTCTTGGGCTTCCCTGGTGGCTCAGATGGTAAAGAATTCGCCTGCAATGTGGGAGACCCGGGTTCAATCTCTGGTTAGGAAGATCCCCTGGAGGAGGGCATGGCAACCCACTCCAGTATTCTTGCCTGGAGAATCCCCATGGACAGAGGAGCCTTGCAGGCTACAGTCCATGGGGTCACAGAGAGTCGGACACGACTGAGCATAAGCACAGCGCACAGTAAAAGGACTCCCACCATCAGATTAATTCAGGCCACATTTTTAAAGTAGCAAGCCTGCAGACCAGGGGTATGCAAACTATTGCCTTCAGGTCAAATCTGGCCTCCTGTTTGTGTAGTATAGTTTTGCTGAAATACACCCATCCAATCCAACATATTGGGTTGGCCAAAGGGTTTGTTCTGTAAGGTGTTACACAGAAAAACCCAAATGAACTTTTTGGTCAACCCAGTATTATCCACGGCTGCTTTTACACTTCACAGGCTGGGTTGAATACTGCTGATCCTTAAACAATATGGGTTTGAAATGCAGGTCAAAATACATGGATTTTTTTTTCCAATAAATATTCAAAAATATACATGCAGAACATCATGTGCAAGACTTGTATTGAGGTGGATAGTCTACACTTACACAGGCTTAAGAGGAGTAATACATAATATAAAATGAATATGTTAGTTTTCTTACTGTTTCATAACTTTGCTTTCAAAGAACTATATTACCATAACTATCACACCTCTCTCATACAGCAAGAAACTGTATTATCACAGGTATGTGGGATTTTTAAAAAATGTAACATTTCCTATATCATAAATATGACTGTAATACCTTATGTCACAAAAATTTTACAACAATTTATTCATTAGTATATAGGCTAGGCTATCATGAAGCTTACTGCACTAGGATACAATAAAACAATCATGTTGCTGCTTCATCATTATCAATGCATAAATTATTATACCTGTAAATAAACATGAATGTTTTTCACGTTCTTTTCATTTTTGATGTCTAGTATTAGTAACACATATAAACAAAAGTTGTGCTGAGTATTTATGTTATTGGTAAGGCTTCCAGCAAATAAATTAGTAGCTAAGTTTTGAGAGAATCAAAAATTATATGCGGATTTTCAACTGCATGAGGGGCTGGTGTCCCTAACCCCTATATATACAGTTACAACTATATATCAACGATATATATGTAACTATATATATAGTTACAACTATGTATCAACTATAGTTACAACAAAGATCTATGCCCACATAGCAAAAATCATCTACTATCTGATCCTTTACAGAAAATGTTTGCTGACCTCTATAACAGAGAATACCTAAAATGTACTATCAAACATGGGAAGTAAGAATAAAGCAGAAGGATCAATGACTTTAATGGTTTTATGAGATTAAATCCTTTTCTTTACATTTTCCAATTCTGTATCCCAATGAACTTTTATTTTGCACAGAAACAAGATTACAGGTCGTTAGTTGCCATGTGACTTAATCTGCACCAAAAAAACCATCACATTTTTAATGAAAATAAGAAATGCTGATCAAGAGAAAAAGAAACCAACTCATAAAGATTAAAAAGCCCTGACAGCATTAACAATTACAGATACAGTCCTGACCAAATGATCTTCATAGACTGTCTATCCCATTACTTACTCTTGTTAAGTCCATGCCCAGCTTGAGCTGTGATAAGAGATGTAGGATAACACTGCGTTGCTCTTCCACAGCTCCCAGGTCATCCTCCTTATTGTCACAGGTATCCTCCACCTCATCATCTGCATTTATTTCTTCAGGTTCCTTGATGCAAAATAAAGCAAAAGTCTATTGTTACAAGTGCATATTAATATGCATTAAGAATAAAAGTATAAACATCAGATGAAGACATATTAGGCCTAAACGAAACTGAGAGCAGACAAAAATCTTTCTGAAAATACAACTTACATCATTTGGCCATGGAATAGATTTCCTTCAATGAACGCATTATCACTGACATTGAACATACTGTTGTTTTGTCATAAGCATCACACATAAAATACATATATTTTGTGAAAATAGGATTTTTCAGGAAGAGTGAAAAAATGTCTCATCTGAAACTTAGGCTTTGAAGGCTTTCTCCACCTGCCTAGGGACCCTACTACTATCTATAATTCAAGATGCTTTGATAATTAAATATTTGCCCTATTTTTAAGCTTACACTGTAAAAGTAAAATTTTAAAGTGACTGTACATATCCAGTCTAACTTCTGTAATCTGTATTTAGATATTTACTCATCCTTGGAATTGTCAGGAAGAAACTTTGGGGATGAAGAAAATTCTAGGTGCAGGTATGGAAACCCTGTAGTTGGTTGTGCAGTCTTAGGACCACAAAAGGAAAAAAAAAAAAAAGACCACAAAAGGTTCTCTACAGTTTTTCAATCAATCAATAAAACAACCCCTAGAAAAGCCAAAAATGTTTACCCTCCTCTTAGAAAGGTCTTAGCTCCAAATAACTGCTTAAAATAAATCTAATTTCCTTTTTAAAATTAGATTTATTTATTAATTTTGGCTGTGCTGAGTCTTTGTTGCTGTACATGGGCTTTCTTTAGTTGTGGCAAGAGGAGGTTACCCTCTATTTGTGGTGCACGAGTTTCTCATTTCAGTGTCTTATCTTGTTCCAGAGCACAGGCTCAAGAGGACGTGGGCTTCAGCAGTTGCAGCTCGCTGGCTCAGTAGGTGCAGCTCACCGGCTCAGCAGTTGTGGCGCAAAGGCTTAACTTCCCTGTGGCATGTGGAATCTTCCCGGACCAGGGATAAAATTTGTGTTCCCTGTACTGGTAGATGGATTCTTTACCACTGGACTGACCACCGGGGAAGTCAGAGAAATCTAATTTCTTATTTTTATTTAAACAACAAGTAACAGTTTCAAATCCCAAAATTCTAAATAATCTTATTGGATGTCACTTTTCATGTTTATGTGGGGATGGAATACGATCTTTCTCAGGAGTACCTCTTTTCATTACCTTTGTGCAAGAGAGCTTTCATGAGTATATTCTCTTTGCTAATGTGTTAAATTTTAAAGTTATGAGGGTTTTTAAAAAGAAATGATTCTGTTAATGTCTCTGCTTTAATTTTCTCTTCCCATAAGCAAATCCTATCAAACAAGAAGCCCATCTGTTCTCTGTAGCTAGACAAAGAAAACCAATCCTAATCAGGCATAAAATCAAGAACTTAATATTCTTAAAATATTAAAAACAAAATACAAAACATGGTGATAGAGATGAGAAATAATGAATTTCTGGTCATTCTTTTGCCTTTGTTCTGCTTTTTTCTTCTTCCCTTCTATCATCCCTTCTATCAATAAAATCTTTATTAGCTCAAATTCTGATAAATCAATTAATAGTCCAGTTCAGAAAGCAAAGAACTAAAGAGCCTCTTGATGAAAGTGAAAGAGGAGAGTGAAAAAGTTGGCTTAAAACTCAACATTCAGAAAACGAAGATCATGGCATCCAGTCCCATCATTTTATGGCAAATAGATGGGGAAACAATGGAACTGCCAGACTTTTATTTTTGGGGCCTCCAAAATCACTGCAAATGGTGACTGCAGCCATGAAATTATTATTTTTTTTTCATTTATTTTTATTAGTTGGAGACTAATTACTTTACATCATTGCTGTGGTTTTTGTCATACATTGAAATGAATTAGCCATGGATTTACATGTATTCCCCATCCCGGTCCCCCCTCCCACCTCCCTCTCCAACCGATCCCTCTGGGTCTTCCCAGTGCACCAGGCCCGAGCACTTGTCTCATGCACCCAACCTGGGCTGGTGATCTGTTTCACCCTAGATAATATACGTGTTTCGATGCTGTTCTCTTGAAACATCCCACCCTCGCCTTCTCCCAGAGTCCACAAGTCTGTTCTATACATCGGAGTCTCTTTTTCTGTTTTGCATATAGGGTTATCGTTACCATCTTTCTAAATTCCATATATATGTGTTAGTATACTGTAATGGTCTTTATCTTTCTGGCTTACTTCGCTCTGTATAATGGGCTCCAGTTTCATCCATCTCATTAGAACTGATTCAAATGAATTCTTTTTAATGGCTGAGTAATATTCCATGGTGTATATGTACCACAGCTTCCTCATCCATTCGTCTGCTGATGGGCATCCAGGTTGCTTCCATGTCCTGGCAATTATAAACAGTGCTGCGATGAACATTGGGGTGCACGTGTCTCTTTTAGATCTGGTTTCCTCAGTGTGTATGCCCAGAAGTGGGATTGCTGGGTCATATGGCAGTTCTATTTCCAGCTTTTTAAGAAATCTCCACACTGTTTTCCATAGTGGCTGTACTAATTTGCATTCCCACCAACAGTGTAAGAGGGTTCCCTTTTCTCCACACCCTCTCCAGCATTTATTGCTTGTAGACTTTTGGATAGCAGCCATCCTGACTGGTGTGTAATGGTACCTCATTGTGGTTTTGATTTGCATTTCTCTGATAATGAGTGATGTTGAGCATCTTTTCATGTGTTTGTTAGCCATCTGTATGTCTTCCTTGGAGAAATGTCTGTTCAGTTCTTTGGCCCATTTTTTGATTGGGTCATTTATTTTTCTGGAGTTGAGCTGCAGGAGTTGCTTGTATATTTTTGAGATTAATCCTTTGTCTGTTGCTTCGTTTGCTATTATTTTCTCCCAATCTGAGGGCTGTCTTTTCACCTTGCTTATAGTTTCCTTTGTTGTGCAAAAGCTTTTAAGTTTCATTAGGTCCCATTTGTTTATTTTTGCTTTTATTTCTAAAATTCTGGGATGTGGGTCATAGAGGATCCTGCTGTGATTTATGTCGGAGAGTGTTTTGCCTATGTTCTCCTCTAGGAGTTTTATAGTTTCTGGTCTTACATTTAGATCTTTAATCCATTTTGAGTTTATTTTTGTGTATGGTGTTAGAAAGTGTTCTAATTTCATTCTTTTACAGGTGGTTGACCAGTTTTCCCAGCACCACTTGTTAAAGAGGTTGTCTTTTTTCCATTGTATATCCTTGCCTCCTTTGTCGAAGATAAGGTGACCATAGGTTCGTGGATTTATCTCTGGGCTTCCTATTCTGTTCCATTGATCTATATTTCTGTCTTTGTGCCAGTACCATACTGTCTTGATGACTGTGGCTTTGTAGTATAGTCTGAAGTCAGGCAGGTTGATTCCTCCACTTCCATTCTTCTTTCTCAGGATTACTTTGGCTATTCGAGGTTTTTTGTATTTCCATACAAATTGTGAAATTATTCGTTCTAGTTCTGTGAAAAATACCGTTGGTAGTTTGATAGGGATTGCATTGAATCTGTAGATTGCTTTGGGTAGTATAGCCATTTTGACAATATTGATTCTTCCAATCCATGAACACGGTATATTTCTCCATCTGTTTGTGTCCTCTTTGATTTCTTTCATCAGTGTTTTATAGTGTTCTATGTATAGGTCTTTTGTTTCTTTAGGTAGATATACTCCTAAGTATTTTATTCTTTTTGTTGCAATGGTGAATGGTATTGTTTCCTTAATTTCTCTTTCTGTTTTCTCATTGTTAGTGTATAGGAATGCAAGAGATTTCTGTGTGTTAATTTTATATCCTGCAACTTTACTGTATTCGTTGATTAGCCCTAGTAATTTTCTGGTAGAGTCTTTAGGATTTTCTATGTAGAGGATCATGTCATCTGCAAACAGCGAGAGTTTCACTTCTTCTTTTCCTATCCGGATTCCTTTTATTTCTTTTTCTGCTCTGATTGCTGTGGCCAAAACTTCCAAAACTATGTTGAATAGTAGTGGTGAGAGTGGGCACCCTTGTCTTGTTCCTGATTTCAGGGGAAATGCTTTCAATTTTTCACCATTGAGGGTGATGCTTGCTATGGGTTTGTCATATATAGCTTTTATTATGTTGAGGTATGTTCCTTCTATTCCTGCTTTCTGGAGAGTTTTAATCATAAATGGATGTTGAATTTTGTCAAAGGCTTTTTCTGCATCTATTGAGATAATCGTATGGTTTTTATCTTTCAATTTGTTAATGTGGTGTATTACATTGATTGCTTTGCGGATATTAAAGAATCCTTGCATTCCTGGGATAAAGCCCACTTGGTCATGGTGTATGATTTTTTTAATATGTTGTTGGATTCTGTTTGCTAGAATTTTGTTAAGGATTTTTGCATCTATGTTCATCAGTGATATTGGCCTGTAGTTTTCTTTTTTTGTGGCATCTTTGTCTGGTTTTGGAATTAGGGTGATGGTGGCCTCATAGAATGAGTTTGGAAGTTTACCTTCTTCTGCAATTTTCTGGAAGAGTTTGAGTAAGATAGGTGTTAGCTCTTCTCTAAATTTTTGGTAGAATTCAGCTGTGAAGCCATCTGGTCCTGGGCTTTTGTTTGCTGGAAGATTTCTGATTACAGTTTCGATTTCCTTGCTTGTGATGGTTTTGTTAAGATCTTCTATTTCTTCCTGGTTCAGTTTTGGAAAGTTATACTTCTCTAAGAACTTCTCCATTTCTTCCAAGTTGTCCATTTTATTGGCATAGAGTGCAGCCATGAAATTAAAAGATGCTTGCTCCTTGGAAAAAAGCTATGACCAACCTAGACAGCATATTAAAAAGAAGAGACATTACTCTGCCAACAAAGGTCCATCTAGTCAAAGTTATGGTTTTTCCAGTGTCACACATGTGGATGTGAGAGTTGGACTATAAAGAAAGCTGAATGCTGAAGAATTGGTGCTTTTGAACTGTGGTGATGGAGAAGACTCTTTAGAGTCCTTTGGACTGCAAGGAGATCAAACCAATCAATCCTAAAGGAAATCA